AAAAAAAAAGCTTTTTAAGAGCAACTTTGCTGATTTCTTTCTTCGACTATTACTGAATTACTTTACAATAGGGCAGTAAAGAATTATTATTTTGCTAATTGAATAATTTGTACATTTTTTTTTTTTTTTTAAATAATAGTCCGACAAAAGTTTCCTTAAAGAACAAGGCACTTAAGTAGTTCTGAATAGAGCTTAGTGGTGGACAAAAAAGTTTTTTTTATATTAAATGCAAAATGTTATTTTTTTATTACAATTTTGGTGTAATTACTGCTCTGCTCCTGTCTAGAAATCCATTATTTTAATAATCCACTAATCTGATTAATTGTTTCAACACAATTTTTTTTTTGATTATTTATTTTTAACATTTTGCCATTTCAATTTTTTTTTTTCTGTTTTTCAGAATGAGTTTAAGAATTTTCAAATTGTCTTTTACAGATTACATTCTCTCTACTTCTGGAGGCTGGCTTTCTTTTGGAGTGAGGGGCGAAGCTGCATTTCTACCGGTCTGCATGTGAATTAGCAAAATCTTTTATGGGGGCTCGAAGTGAAGAGAATGTGAAAAAAAAAAAGGTTTTAAAAAAATCTTCAAAAATTACGTTTTACAAAAGTAATTAATATTAAATTACTTCCAACAATAATAGAACAAAATTCACACCATACCATATAATATATTAATTAATATTAAAATATTTTTTTGATTGTTCTTAGTGTCAGTTTTAACATTTACATGATGTAAAAAAAAAAAAAAAAAAAAAAAAAAAAAAAAACAGCTCTAAGAATCAGTCCAATATTATGAGCAGAACACACAATAATTAGTATTGGCGTTTAGAAACCTGCATCGGTTGTTCTCCAACAACCTCACACTTTCAGGCTCATTCACATTCAAACACTCAACAAACACACTTATTTCTCATTTAACCAAATAAAATCCAGGCAAAGATAAAATCTTCCCAACACATATTAAAGCTGGGGGTTGTTACATGATAAAACTGCTATAAGACACTATATATAAACATTCTGGAATCTTCTTCCCTCACCTGCATGTCCAGTCCAACAGAAACAAGGTTATTGGGTCTTTGAGGTCGGAAAGCCACGGAGGAGCAGATGTTAGTGTGTCTACGCAGACTCCGACATACTTTCCCACCTGGAATCTCAAGAATCCTCACCGCCCCAGAGTCATCAGCCACAGCCAAAGACGAACCGGTCTCATTCAGAGCCAACGCATTGATCTCCTCCTCTCCTGCACTCTGAAAATCCTCCACTGGAGCCTTCAGGTTCCTGGGGTCGAACACGCTCACTGCGTCTCCATGCGATACATACAGGTTGGCAGAGCCAGCAGGTGAGAACGTGGCACTGGTAACGTCCTCCTGTCCAGGCAGAACAAGACGGCCGAGGATGACGCCTTCATGAGTCCAAACCGTCAACTCTCCTCCCTCTGCACCTGAGGCAACCAAACCCGTTGGACCCGGAGACCAATCAACACAGAGGATGGAAGAGGAGTGGCCCTCCGACCACAAGCTGCCCATACTGACCCAAAGACAGGAGAGATAACTTGATGAGTTTGGAACAGTCATGTGTGTTTAAACATTGCCGTTAATCTTTGATTACAGATGAAACATCACAATATTTCAAACACAGCTGACAGTAATGTCAGAGTATCCCATCCTATCAATAAAATCAGAAGTTGAGAACTTGGCTCTACACGAGGGCTGCAACTAACGATTATTTTGCAGATCGATGAATCTGTTGATTATTTTTTTGATAAATCGATTAACAATTGATTAGACAAAGTTCCTTTAAGAAGACTTTTTGAAAATTTTAACCAAGTGAAACTAAAATGTTTCCACTTGAGGAGTTCCGGATAGAGCATATTGAAGGACGAAAACGTTTTTTTTTAAAACTTAAATGCAAAATATTTAAAAATTTTTTACAACTTTGGTATAATTACTGCTCTAAGCAGGTTGCTCTGTCCGCTAAAAGCATGTTTTAGATTCACTATACACCAGTTAACAAATTAGTTGACTATTTCAAACGATTAATCAGGATAAATCCTCATCATTGTTTCAGGCCTACTCTAAACCCAATAAAGACAGGATAGATTTTATATGCAGAATAGTTCAGCTCTGATTTCTTTTTTAGAACCAAATAAAATGTAAACAGAATGATTTATTGCATTTTCTTTCTAGTTTATTGTTTCTTTGAACCCTTAAATATGTCTATTGTATTATTTCAATGATTTAATCATCATAAATATTTATTTTTGTAGAAGTAATGTGTGAATGTTTCTGCACAAGAAACAACGAATTTTTTAAACCAACAACTGTTAAAATGTTAGTTACCCAACAACAAAAATCAAATATATCACCAAAACACCACATAGTGCCAAAATTTCAAACAATAAACTTGTTCTAACTTGCTTTGGATCAAATCAGTTCATATAATTAGTCATTATTTGGACCAGCCAGTGTGCTGAAATGTCCTGAGTTAACATTTGGAGTTTTATTTTGCTATGAAATAAAATGAGGTAAAGTTGATTAACAGACAAAAAAAGTTGTGTTTTAATCTTTACATTATTAAATAACAATAAAAAATTATGAATACAACCAGCAGCAAGTGGAATGTCAACTTCCCCAGATAAAATGCATAAATATAGGAGCATAACGGCATATTTGATGCAATTAATTTACTTTAAGCAGTCATAACTTCAATATTTACATTATTTGTAGGTGGGTGAGCAAATAGTTTAGAATCCAAGTCATACCAGTAGTAAACAGTATAATTTTTAATCTGTTTATGTTCTGCTTTCTTTTTTTTACTTTGACTAATGAGCCTTCACCACGTTGATTATAATTTATCCACAACAAAGAATTTTCACAGTAACTTGTATTTGTTGGCTGGACTCTCCAACAATGTTCCATAATCACAGGTAAAAAAAAAACCCAACATGCTTCTGGAAATACTCTATAAACACAGAAAGAGTCAAATTTTCAGCTTAAGCATTGGGGGAGATGCTAACATGCTAATCTTCGCTCAGCTCGCTTGATGACAGCGAAAAGAAAAAGAACAACCATGCAAAAATCTGGCATTAACCAGAGGGAGGTGTTTATTACCTTAGCGGTGAGGTCCAAGCTTTAGCATGCTAACATGTGGGGCAGAGGCGCCTAGTGATGACGTCGCAAATATAACAGCCATGCGTCGAAACGGAAGCCCATAAAAGTCTCCTGAAAAGAAAATATTCGCAGTTTATTCCAAGCAACAGGAGATCCTCCTCCTAAATCTTTCCTTGGACAAAATGCAGAAACCAAAAGCAATAAGTTTGTCATATCACCTCTATAATTTTTTTTCCCTCGGTACAAATTAAAGAATAATGCTTACTTGGCTTTTTATTTTTATTTATTTATTTATTTCATTTATCTTTCATTATAATTCTGTAATATTCGACATTTGTAATTATAGATTTTTTTCCTCTCTTTCTGAAGTATATTGTACAAACTAAACATCTGCTTACATTGGAATTGAAAGAAAAGAAAAAAAAATTAAGAAAAGTGTTAGGAGGTATGATTGACTATTATATGTTGTAATTTTTTTATACTGTATTGTTTGAGTTTGTCATTGTTACTGTTCAAATAAAGTTATATATATAAAAAAAACTTTATTCCAAGCAAACTGCAGTTCCTTGTGTAATTTCAGTTTGGTCTGGTCTGATCTCAGAAGAATGCTGGAACAAAACGTGGCCCAATAAATATTTCCTATTCAACAAGGTTAAAGAGGTTTCCTTTAAGATTATTCACCACTGTTACCCAGTAAAGTCATTTTTGATTAAATATAAAAAGGACATTGATACCACCTGCACTGTCTGCAACATTTACTTTGAGTCTGTTTCTCACCTGTTTTGGTCCTGTGAGTACACCAGGCGTCTATGGCAAGGTATTTGTCACTTTATTCTGGGCAATATGTATGACAAATTTGTTTTATTTGGAATTACAAAATAAAAAAAAAATAACTTTCTTAGCATTTCTTCTTATGTAATCTTTTGCTACTGTTGGCCAAGTTTTATATCCACAACGGTAAAATTATTATGATTAAACCCTCATGTGTCTCTTATTCACAGGAAGCAATGATTTATTTTTCTACATTGTCCTCCTCCAATAACAAAAAGGCTGTTAAAACTTTATCTTTATGCTCTACAATTCAAAGTATTTATGTAATCCCTTTACCTGATTCTATGTGTAGCTTTACTGTTTACTATTTCACTATTACTATTTTTACTTCTGTTCTGTTATTTATTATTATAATTTTAGTTCAAATCCCTGGCGACTGTTCACTTAATTTTTTAGACTGAAAAAATATGATAAATTCAAGTGTTTATAACTATTCTATAAGTGTTTTGCTCTTTTTTTTTATACAAATCAATGGAAATATGGTTTATTAGACAAAGGAAAGCTAGCCGGTTTACTTTGCATCATTTATACAAAATGCAGTATTAAGAGCCCTTTATAAATTCTAATGTATAAGGTTAGAATAAAGCATCTTTCAGATTTGCTTAAAATGTACACTGACTTCTAACAATCACATTAGCTTAATTTCAATATATGCAGTACTGTATGGGTTTTGGGTAATTAGTGTGTTTGCAGTTACATGAGAAACACACAGAACCCAATGATGATGAAAATGATGATGAAAAAAAAATGCAATAGAGAGAGAGGGGAAAAAAAATTATTTCCATGTTTACTGCAGCTATAGGAAAATAGATGCCAGTAGGATGTGATGGAAGCAAACCATTTCATTATTGTTCAAGGTTCTCCCTCACCCCAACCCCCACCTGGCCTCCTTTTCTACAATGGCTGCCCTCTCGCTGATTCATCTATTGCTGTAGATCTGATGAGTATTCATTTCTGGGTCAGTGAGCAGCATGCAATGCTGCCTCTCTGAATAGTGAACACAGAGGAGCAAAAATTGCTTTCAGACACAAACTAACTACACACAAACTCATGATTCTGTGAAGCCCTCAGACGTGCTGTGTACCCTAACAGAGCTCCAGCAGTTTTCACACAGCTTTGGGTCTGTAAGTATCTCTGTTCTAGGACATGCTGTGCATAGTTTACTCTTAAAAGAGCAGGGTTCTGTCAGGAGATGGAGCACTGTATGGTGGCGGATGTATGAAGAATGTGGATGGATTCCAAAAAAATTAAAAACAATCCACTGGACTTGGTTTCCAAGTTTGAAGCTGGAAAGTGAACCATCTTCAAACTAGGAAACCAAGTCCAGTGGATTGTTTTTAATTTTTTTGGAATGACTATGACCTGGATGACTGAGAACCTTCACCAGCAATGTGGATCAATGTTTTTTTTTTTCAATTAAATGTAGCATGCATGTCTAAAATAAGATATAAACTTGCATTATAAGTCAAACTTTTCTTTAACCCTTTGTTTTTTTTCAGTCTGTATGATGTTTGAAGCCTAGAATGATTGTTAGGCAGAAGAAAGTGTATCCTTGCAGTGCTTAGACTGGGAGCAGACAAACCTTTGCACTGATAATTCCTCCATTTGACTTTTTCTTGAAACAGTAAATAGCTTAGATATCTGCTACTGATAAACTTAAAGTATTTTAGCTGGGAATTTCATTTTATTCTAAATCTATCTGTCCATCCATCCATCCATCCATATATATATATATATATATANTATATATATATATATATATATATATATATATATATATATATATATATATATCATTACATTGACCTTCATAGCACTGGATGTTTTTTCACTGGATGTACTCGTACACAAATTATTGTCTTGCATAAGTTTTAGTCTAAACTGCCTATTTTCAGCCTATTAATGTCCATTTGTGTCTGTTGTTGCTTGCTGGGCTATAATCTTTGTAAATTACCACAGCCCTTAAAGTTAAAGGTTAAGAGTTGAAATGCGCACCTTTTATTCATTTCTTCACACATTATGATTATGTGCATTGGTTTATTAAAAAAAATTCAAAACAAATTTATTTAAATTTGTAGTTTTAATGTGTAACATGTCCAATTTCTAACGGGTGTGTGTGCTTTTGGTATACACTTTAAAATGTAAGAGGGACACAACTTTTGGCTTTTATGGTTGTATGGGTGGCTCTTTTGTTTGGATTTTCTCAAAACTTCTCTAAAGGGGACCTTCATTCTCTTTAATTTCAGATTAATCAGTCTAATCGTCCAGGAGCCAGCATGAGGTCCCCCTATTTCCCAGCCAGGTCAGTACTTTTCCACAAACAGCCCAATGGAGTGACCTACAGAGTCCCGGCTTTGTTGTACCTGCCGCGCTTCAGATCATTTCTGGCTTTCTGTGAAGAGAGACTAAGCCCATCAGACTCTCACGCTCACCTTCTCGTAATGAGGAAAGGCACCTTCTACAGGAACTATGTGGAGGTCAGTGACCTGTGGTACAACTCTGTCCTAATTTGAAAAATTTCAGAAGATACTTAAAGTTAAGGGACAAGACATTATTGTTAATTTGAAATTATTTTATGAAGTAAGGATAGAAAAAAAATGGTAGATATATAAAATATCAAAGAAAGTCAGTTTTTTAAAGATTATGTTTATTTTGTTGCTGCAGTGGAAGGACATCCGTGTTCTTGGCACAGCCTTCCTACCTGGTCACAGGTCCATGAACCCATGTCCCGTGTATGACGAGTTCACTGGTTTGCTCTTCCTGTTCTTCATCGCTGTCCTCGGCCACACCTCCGAGTCCTACCAGCTGGTGACCGGGGACAACGTGACCAGGCTTTGCTACATCTCCAGTACTGATGGTGGAGACACTTGGAGTAAAGCCACCGACCTCACTGAGACAGTCATAGGAAGCACTATCAAAGGTCACTGAAAAAAAGCCTGTAACCTCATTGTTATGGTCCATGAGGGTGATTGGTGAGGGCACCTTTACTAAGAAGAAGGGTTTGGGGGTTGCAGAGAGCAAAAAAATAAAGTTTTCTATTTTGTTTTTACATGTGAAGATGGGAAGTTAAATTAAAGATTTTCTATTCTACTCTATTCTGTTATATATATCTATTATTTTTTTGGGATGGCAGTTCGGTTAAGGATTAAAGTGTGGATTGAGTTTAGGTTAGCTTATGTAAAATTGTATTATTTGCTTCTTCCCTATGGTGGCCAAACATATGATCAAAATATGGTTTTGAAAGTATGAGTACTTTGGCAGGGTGCTATATTATCCAGACAAAGATGAACAGGGGGGTGAAACCCAATGGGCTTTGAAATAAAGAGTGATAAACACTTTGAGAATAATTGTCTGAACACAGATAGCGAGACACATCTGCACTTTATGGTCACCACTCTCATAGGGAGTGGATATGACCTGCATTGTTTTTTCCCCCCTTTGTGTCTGGGAGAGTTTGGTGTAAATACAAATTAATGGTCTCTATGCATATCTTGGAAGGACTGAAGCAAAATAAAATCTTTGAATAATGTCCTATTGGACCATTATCTGTCAGTTATCCTTTGACCTGTTGGTGCGGCTGTCTGTATGCAGGAGGGCAGATGCTGCTGCAACTGGCTGAGGATACTGGATCAAACAGGGAATTCTTCTATTAAAACATGCTGGGGGAACTCTTTGTTAATGTTGCAGCTTCTGCAAACACTGAGGCCACTTGTTAATTTCTTGATGATTTCCTACTGACCAGCTTTCTAAAAATAGTCCAAGTTGACTCAGTCCAATACAAGTTAACTTCATTAAAGACCGTATGTATAAGTTGTATTGATTTGCTCTTTTTTGACAGGCTGGGCCACCTTTGCTCTGGGCCCGGGTCACGGCATCCAGCTGAAGTCGGGCCGCCTGCTCATCCCTGCCTATGCCTATCACATTGAGTGCAAAGAGTGCTTCGGGCAGCTCTGCCTGAACACTCCTCGTGCCTTCTGCTTTCACAGTGACACCCATGGAAGAACCTGGCGTTTTGGTGAGGCCATCCCAGCTCCAGAGAGCGTGGAGTGTCAGATGGTGTCTGTGGATGAAGAGGACGGCTCTAACGTGCTATACTGTAACGCTCGCAGCCCTCTGGGATGCAGGGTGCAGGCAGTCAGTCTGGATGATGGCGCTGTATTTCAGCAGGGCCAGCTGGTGCCACGCTTGGTGGAGCCTAGGAACGGTTGTCATGGAAGTGTTGTTGGATTTCCTGCTCCTTTACATCTATATAAAACTCTTACTGGTCACACACCCTCTTGCAGACACTGGACGCCCTTTGTGGTCTGCACTGATCAAAACCAGATATCTTATTTACCAACAACAAACAGCAGCCGCTGGTCTCCAAACATCCCAACTGCACTTTATCCCAGCACCCCCCCAGACTTCCTAACTCCCACCTGGGTGGTTTATTCCCACCCGACACAAACCACTGCCCGTAAAGATCTGGGTGTGTTCCTCAGCCTGTTTCCAAGAGATCCAGACAGCTGGCGTGGCCCCTGGGTGATCTACGAGGGCCCCAGCGCTTACTCTGATCTGGCCTATCTAGAGCTGTCGCCTTCACCGGGAGAACCCCCCACTGTGGTGTTTGGCTGCTTGTTTGAGTGTGGAACAAAAACAGCATACGATGAAATCTCCTTCAGCATATTCAGCCTCTATGAGCTGATAAACAATCTCCCAGGGGAAAAAGAGCTAAGTGAGAGCAAGGAAAATAACACTCATCAAGCCGCTGGTAGAAATGAGCCTCCAAGTTCATCAGTCACCCACCCAATGCTTCATGTTAAGAAGAGGAGGAAAAGCAAGCTGATGAAGATTTGTTCTGTTTCTTAAATGTTTTTAATAATATAATTTCCTATCTTTTAATAACAAATAAGTTTTAATAAAAGAAGAAAAAATGGATGGTGTGGTTTGTATTATAATATAACTGAATTCAAATAGTAAAGTCTGTATTTAGGCAACAGAGCAATTAGTAAAACTTGAAAGCCCAGGTTTTGGGTTGTTTATTAGGTTAAAAGTAAAGCAAGTCTGAAAGTTGGAGGAATTCCATCAGAACAGGAGGAAATTTATTGGACTAAATATGTTTAAAGTTGGACTAATAACTAATACTGTAGGTTGGCCTCTAACTGGGATATAAAATATTATTAGGGAATAATTTTTCTATAGAAAAGGGTAAACAAGTTAATTTTTATATCGGGCCACTTCGGCACTATCGGGTCTTTAGAAGGTCCGGCTGTACCTGTATAAATTAAGCTTTTGATTTAATTGTTTAATTGACAAAGATTCCACTTTCTTGGTATTTTAGCTTTTTTTTTTGTTTTAGCCTCTTAGTTTATGTAGCAGACCTGCTGCTACATAAACTAAGAGGCTAAAACAAAAAAAAGGTCATCCTGCTTATATTGCACAGATGCTTTGGCCATGCTCTCCATCATTACAGCTCATACCCGGTGCAAAAAGGTGTGGAAAACCACAGAGGTCTCTTTTTTTTAGTGCTAAGAAGCTATGGATGTAAAGCACTTTGAATTGTGTTGTATCAATAAATTAGCCTTGCCTTATGTTTGAGTGGTTCACCAAGGTTTTTTTTTTTGTAAGGATATAGAGGCTCTTTTAGATGTTTAGAAGTTAGATGTTTTTTTTGTGTTAGTTTTCAAAGGTTGGAATCAGAGAAGTATTTTTTCAATGTTCAATGAAATCATATTTTAAATGAAATAATCAAAACAATTAAAACTTCTATCAAATAAATTTGTTGAAACTTGATTATTTTCTGCCATTATGTTGTCACTTCTTTTTTGCTTAGGAAAAATTACAACTTTTGTTTATTTTTCTTTTTTTTCCCCCCAATCCTCCCCACCTTTCAGAGCAGTCTTGGAGTAAAAACCAGTCTTGTTGCTTCACTGACTTTTAATATACATTTTTTTTCTCTTCCAGCAATAAACTTATAAACAATAAATAACCTAGGAAGATAATCCTGCTTTATAATAGCTATATTCTCTGGTTTTTCAATTTAGCAGCTAAATTCCTTCAATTTAGCTGCTCACAATTTGAAATGTTTGGATCAGGGCAGAACAAACAACACCACTGGTTTAACCAGTATTTGTCAATCCATTCCTACTGACCAGTCCCCAGGTAGGACAGTTGTCTAGAAGACAGGAAGGTAAGTATCAAACGGCCATTGCTAAAGAAGCTGGTTATTGAGTTCAGTATCCAAGGATATTAACTGAAAACATAGTGGAAGGTAGAAGAAGCTGCAATAGTGTTAACTAGCTTTAAGTGGATTATCAAGGGAAATCCATTCAAAAATGTGTGGGAGCTTCACAAGAAGTGGACTGCGGCTGGAGTCAGTGCATCAAGATGAACACAAACACATGGGGTAAAAAAGTCGTACTTCTGATGTCATTTCTCGTATCAACCTACTTCTTAACCAGAGACGGCATCAAAAGAATGTTACCTGAGCTAAGGAAAAATGTACATGTATATACATATGTATATAAATCATGTAATATATGACATGATTTACAGACTGCATAGACTTTATAATGGCTAAGCAATGTGATGTGCCTATTTTTTTTAAATTACAAGTTAAAGTAATCTACTTATCCTATGAAACTGCAAGTGTGTGTCAAAGTGATGAATTCATCTTTATTTTTAAAGTCTTAAGCCTTCCTGAAAATGAGAAAATCATTGTTGTTTGATGCTGTAATGCACGTATTTTTTACATTAAGACCGGTCTAACTAGGGAGTACCAAATTGCCAGCCGGTGGCTTCACTTCAACCCTGTACTACCAACAGCCTATCAGCAATCCAGTGAATAAATAGAGATCTGCAAGTCTGATTCACTAGGTGCTTGATTGTACACACATGTAGGCATTGGAAGTGATTGGAACAGCTATTTCCTACAATTTGGAGGGAGAGCAAACACTTTTGACAATGCAGTGTAGAAACTTGGACAGCTCTGCAGTGAATCTATATTTGTTTCACATTTTGAATGAAATTACTCTAATAACATTTTTTGATATTGTAATGAGGCCAAGATTTTCCATAATCACCACTGTGTGACGAGTCTCCTATTGACGCTGCAGCACTTGCTAATTGGATTGGTCACAGCTGAAGGGCAAGCACAATATACAGTACTGTAAACAACTTCTTGCTGCTGTGATAATGGGTGTAAAATAGCTGTTATTTACCAGCACTGGTTCTTTACATGCTACTCAACAGGTGCAAGTTCCTGTTTAGTCTGTTTATTGTTTGTTAATAAAGAAAGGAGGGCAGTGAAGTGCAGTGACGAGTTCAGAAAATGTTATTTTCCTTAAAGAAATTTCCTCCACAGGACAAAACAACCTCAGATTGACCATTAAAACTGACCTGAGGATCATTATAAAGCTTTAGCTCTAAAGATTTTACCCTTCCAAATGATAAGACGTGTTTTTCCTTTCTCAGACGTTTGGAGGCTGATTAACTAAGTGTATCAAGGGAGACAAAATGAGAAAGATAACGACCTAAAGTGGAGAAGATTGTTTAGCTTTAGGAGAAAAATAAGAAGCAGTGATTGTGCAAAGAAGACAGCAGGATCTGGAAAATCTCGTCTCTGCTTCTTTCTTATTGCACAACTCTGCACTGGCAGGAGGGTCATTCCTCTCCCTGTACTCCTCCCCTCTGGTTGTTTTGTCCATTTTCAGACGGTTCCGAGCTACACAGCTGGTAGAAATGGAACTGAGGGGAGCAATGGTTCTGGTTGTGTTGATGGGGACGACATGGAGCCTCAGTGTGACAACAATCAGACCTGAAACAGTTTCCATGGATGCGGTGGCTCGTCCTGACATGGCCGAGGAGAACACAGAACAGGTGAGGCAGATCAATCTACCACTCCTTTATGAAGCATAAATATTTGTTGAAATCATTATCAGACAATGCTGTACATAGTACAAAAACCAATCTGAGCTTGAGGGAAAAACACTCAGCTTTCAGTAACTACCCAGGTTTAAGTTCTGCCTGCAGCCTGTTGAGATCAGATTGTAAAAAACAATTCAAAACCGTTATCTGCAAGATTTAGTTTGGGAGGGTTAGAACTGTAAAGAAAATATAAAAATGAAGGTTTTGTTTGGCTCCATGAACATTGTCCTGGGTGATTGTAGAGTCCAACAATGACAGAAGTGAGGGAACAGTTCAGCTCTTCCACTTCTTCTTTGCAGGCAGCTGTCCTGTGGCCTCCAAATATTTGTTGATAAGTTCTTCCTGTGTTGCTGGCAGGCAGGGCTGATATCTGCTGTATTCCATCGTGTATTCTCCTTTTCCCTTTAAAAACAATGAAAACAATATTCTGTTACTTATGTAATGAAACATTAGGAAGGTGTATGTCAAAACGGACTCTACCTTTCTTTGTTTCTTAATTTTTCTCTTATTAAAACAACAATAAAAACTTCTGTCTTCTGGATATTATTGAGTAAACAGAAAGTGATGAATGTGTAAACAGGAAACATGAGTCCATAATATGAAATATAACAACTAAAGACATTTTAAAGGGTAAAATATAAGTTGAAAATCTCACTTATCATTCTAATGACCAAGTCTAGCACCTCTGAACCAAAAAGAACATTAGAAAAAATACACTTCCTTATATGGATGGTTATGCATATGGAAGTTTGTAATCAAAATTTCAAAAAAGTTTTTCATGATCAAGTCAAATGCTGCTTATTTGCAAGACAGAAAATTAACAGATTGAGAATTCTGACATCTTCCAAAGATTTTCAAAGCATGAGAAATGGATAGACTTCATGAAACCAAGGTGAAGCCAAATTTCTCCTTACCCACCAAAACATGCTTGTTGTACCAAACTTTTAATTCCACAGCAATGGCATACACTTCTGGTGGAGTTAACAGGCAGACCATAGTGGGTGTTTGTGAGCATTTAGTTTATCCAGTAAAAAAAAAGTGTAATTGAAGTTTTTTTTTTTTTTACTTGTATATGTCCTCAGCAGGTGAAAACATTAGTTAATATTTTCTGATCAAATTCAAATTATTTAATCAATCACAGCTCTCTCAGTTTTTTTTTTATTTACTCACAACAGTGACAGTTTTTCCCCAGTGTGTCAGATGAATGAACTCAGACTTTATATGTTTGTTTTTACTTCCTTTCTGCCGACTGCATGCAGTAACATTGCCTCCCAGCTAAAATCTTGCGATATCTGTGAGTTCACAAATGCACGACAATCCGTCTCGTACCCCTCCAGCTTAAAAGAATCCACAATTAGCAGTAACAATAGACTTTATTACAGAGATATCTATTTTGGATGTAAAACAATACGGTAAAAATACTGTTACTGCCATTACGTTTTAATAAAGTTAAATAAAATATTGTCACATGCATGTCGCCATGTTGTTTATGCTGCATCACATACATTTTCTAACTTTACAGCAGCTAAATCCAATATGATTTAAAAAAACAACTCTGGTAATATTAGCCTTCCTGTGTTTACTGTGAAGGTGTCAGGCTAGGAACCATGCATTAAACATAACATATCACTAAGTAGGATTTTTTTATGCATCCAAAACTGCAACTTTTAAGTTACTAGGAAAATGATCCCTTTAAATAGTTTGAATCCAAATCAAAATGGATCAGGCAATCATGGTGCACAACACAATATGAAAAGTAGATCAGCTGAGCCTGCAGCCAAAGAAAATCATGTGGCGTAGCTCTTCTGTCTCATCAGTTGTTTCAGAATACACAATTTTATCTTTGAAATAGGAACATCAAGAGCATAAAGGCATACCGGTAAGTTGTGGTTTCTTTTGGCATCTGCTGCTATGAGATTTTCTACTGTGATTGGCTAAAACCGAACATTGGTATGCAGGCATGAACAGATTGGATGTGTTAGGATAATTATCATTTAAGATGTGTGAGTTTATTACAACTTGGCATTGGCTGCCTGTTGCATGGCACAACTGATGTTTTCCACAAAAGTTAATCTAATTAGGACAGTTCCTCTGTCTGGATATACAGTTATAATCTTCATTTTGTACGTGGAAAAGATCTGGAAATGGAATGAGAGCGGTGTCCTTCAGCTTAGAATGAAGTGTCCTATTTTGATAAGGCTGGAGCCATGGATGTCTAATCATCTGCTAACGTGTATGATATAAATATGGTGATGTAGCAGACTGATAAAATGCCTTTTTAACTGTTAATCGGGGCCACTTCCTCAGAGGTGAGCCTGGAGGTGAGCAGCTGCTATTCTGTAACCCTGAGCAACTTCTCTGATCTGAGTAAGATTACAATTTCAACAGAATCTGTCTCCTTTATTTACGTGGTGCCTTCAGAGCTCAGGGAACTGATATTTATGTCTCTTTCATTCATTCATTCATTTATGATGAATGCCAATAGCTAACTTGACAGGCTGTAAAAATCCTGATAAAGGGCCTTTAATTTGGAGCTTATTTTAAAAATATGCTACAAATACTTTGTTACTAACAATCTATATTGTGGACTGTGAACCTACCTCAGTGCAGGAGCGCAGTTCTGTAGAATAGCCAAACATGTCGTTGAGAGGAATCTGTCAGAAGAACCAATGTTGATTTAAACAGGGACTATGAAAATAAAAAGACTGCAGATACATGCTTTAATTTCAAGCATGCAAATCAGACTTACATCGGCATACAAAGTGAAGTATCCCTCGGCCCCGTCCTGGCCTGTGATGACACCGTGGCGCCGGTTTACCCCAGAAATGACGGCTCCTTGAAACTCCTGAGGTGCAACAATCTCCACTGACATGATCGGCTCAAGAATTACAGCTTGGGCCTTTTCCATTGCTGTGAAGGGGACAGTGCCACCAAATTTAACATAAGACCACCATGACACAGAGAGACAGTCTGTGACAAGATGATAACAGTGATTGGTGCTGGGATCAGAGGAGCATGCAAACCTTGTTTCAGAGCGCCCTCTCCTGCACGAATGAAGGAGATTTCATTGGAGTCCACCATGTGATTAGCTCCGTCTTCCAGCAGGAATCGGACTCCTGATATCTTGTGTCCACTGAGTGGTCCCTTCTCACAGGCATCCCTGAACCCCTGTAACATGGAACACATGCAAAACATCAAACTAAATTCAAACCTTTTTTTCCCTTTGGAAAAATATCCCTGATGTTATATTCTAATGAGCTGTAAGCAGAATATCATCATACTTAACAAAAAAGAAGGCATTAAGAACACCAGTCTGTGTAACTGTGTCAATTAGTGAACTGATTTAATAAAATAGATGAAAAGGTCTAATTTATTGTTTAAGTTATAGCAGAACAATCACAGCACATGCCTTCTCAACAGCTGGAACAAACTGCTTGGGCACGTTTGTTCCAACAGTCTGATCTTCAAACTCGAGCTTGGTGTAATCTTCTGGCTCCAGGGGCTCCAGAACCCCAATGACTTTGCCGTACTGCCCAGAGCCACCGCTCTGCTTCTTATGGGTGAAGTCGAACCTGAAAGCAAAGAGACACAAAAGAATCGATTTTAGGAAGCTTAATGACAGATTGAAACTAGAGAAAACTGGGGTAATTCCGGTGAAGCATAACCAAAGAGCTCAAAGAGAAAACTACACTGCCTGGCCAAAAAAAAAGTCGCCACCAAAAAAAAGGTCACTCACTCTAATACTCTGTTGGACCGCCTTAAACTTCGATTACGGCTCGCATTCGATGTGGCATTGTTTCGATAAGCTTCTGCAATGTCAAAAGATTTATTTCCATCTAGTGTTGCATAAATGTTTCACCAAGATCTTGCATTGATGATGGTAGAGTCTGACCGCTGCGCAAAGCCCTCTCTTGCACATCCCAAAGATCCTCAATGGGGTTGAGGTCTGGACTCTGTGGTGGCCAATCCATGTGTGAAAATGATGTGTCATGCTCCCTGAACCAGTCTTTCACAATTTGAGCCCAATGAATCCCTGGGATTGTCATCTTGGAATATGCCTGTGCCATCAGGGAAGAAAAAGTCCATTGATGAAATAACCTGGTCATTCAGTTTATTCAGGTAGTCGGTCGACCTCATTCTTTGAGCACATACTGTTGCTGAACCTAGACCTGACCAACTGCAGCAACCCCAGATCATAACACCGCCCCCACAGGCTTGTACAGTAGGCACTAGGCATGGTGGGTGCATCATTTCACCTGCCTCTCTTCTTACCCTGATTCGCCCATCACTCTGGAACAGGGTCAATCTGGACTCATCAGACCACATGACCTTCTTCCATTGCTCCACAGTCCAATCTTTATGCTCCCTAGCAAATTGAAGCCTTTTTTCCGGTTAGCCTCACTGATTAGTGGTTTTCTAGACAGCTGTTCAGTCCCAATCCCTCGGGTTCCCTTCGCATTGTGCGTGTGGAAATGCTCTTACATTCAGTATTAAACATAGCCCTGAGTTCTACTGTTGTTTTTCTTCGATTTGATCTCGCCACATGTTTAAGTGATCGCCGATCACAATCATTCAGAATTTTTTTCCGGCCACATTTCTTCCTTGAAGATGATGGGTCCCCACTATCCTTCCAGTTTTTAATAATGTGTTGGATAGTTCTTAACCCAATTTTAATAGTTTCTGCAATCTCTTTAGATGCATGCCAATGATTTGACCCTTTTCAAACAGACTAACATCTTTTCCACGACCACGGGATGTGTCTTTCAACATGGTTGTTTAGGAAATGAGAAGCAAGCCATTGCACCAGTTGGGGTTAAATAACTTGTTGCCAGCTGAAAGATAATCTCCCATGCAGTAATTATCCAATAGGAGGCTCGTACCTATTTGCTTCAGTTAGGCCCAATGATTCAATACCCCTAATTAGAGCTTTAGGTTTCTTCTGACTGGAAATTACATCAATCTTTAGTAATAATGATTTAGTAATGATTAGGAATTCTGATGGAGCTAAAGATAAGGGTGAAGGCAAGGAGGCCTCCCAACCAAGTCTTTCTAAAATCTAATTTATAATAAGACCCAAAGGTTTTGGTGGAGTCAATAAACTAGGACTTAAATGTGATTTAAGTTTTTTCAACTGTGATTAATGTTTAGTGTCCTGTCTCTTTAAGAAGGGGTAGAGCTATCAGGGCTCTGCCTTCAAAGCAGGAAGTAATGCTTTCATTAGCAGGAGGTGTAGTTATGTCGGAGGACTGAGCAGAGGCAACAGTCAGCCAGCCAAACAAACAGTCAGCCCAGGCAAGAAGCGTTTTAGTTGTTTGTTTTGGTTCTTTAGATCCTTGATCTATTTCATTCTCCTCTGAGTAAATGTGTCTAAAGACAACAGCCACACCCGTCTGACAGCTAAAGGTCAAAGTCCACTAGAGAGTTTATATTTCCTCTCTTTCTGTCCACAGACAGAAGCAGCAGCAGCAGAGGAGGCTGAAGAGGATGTGATGGCAACAGGTGAGCTGAACCCCAATCACTACCCCGCCCAGAGGGCAGCAAAGGTGGTCCAACACTACCTCAACACCCGCCATGGATCCCCCTACAGACTGTTTGGATTAAAGCAGGTCCACAGTGGGAACGCAGAGGTCAGGTTCATTTTTACTCCTGATCAGCCAACATTTATTAATGTGCTAGATCCAACCGTGGCTCAATTTGGTCGACCCAACAGGATGTGGCAGACTCCGGGAGAAAGTACCAGCTGGAGATTTCAGTACACGAGATCATCAGTAATGTAAGGGACATTTTTTTTTATCTCTTATAAAATTGTTTGCAATAAGAGATCTTAAAAGGGTGTTTGAGTTTCTGAGACTCCAATTTCTGATTTTCTGCTTGTCAGAAAATCAGAAGCCCATTCTAAAGTTTATTCAAAAGAAATTATATCAATGTTCAACCAACAAAGCTAATTCATCATTAAACAGTTTTATTAATATCCTAACAAGAGGAGCTAAAAGTTGAATGTTATATTTTGGCTGTCAGTGAGGCTGGCTTTACTGAAACCTCTGTCTCTGGGTGTATTCCCAAAGAATGTGGATCCTTTGCAACATCAGATCTCCAATATGCTGCTAATATCTGCAAAGACAATGAGTGTGATAACAGATGGTGACTGACAGTTTAAAAGGAAAAACAAAACAAAGTTTCTGCCAAAACCTCCAAAGCAAGGAGCTCTTGGCTATGAATGAAGGCACCACTTGGTGCATTCACTGACTGGAAAATAGTAGGAATTATTGAGTTTCTGACCAGCTATTCACCAACCAGAAAAACTAGCTTCTCATTCCAATACTACTGTGAAATTTGAATATTTTCCTGTCCTTCGTAATTATTTTTCAATAATGTTATTATTATGGCTATTTTACTTTGTCCACCTTTAACTGGTCTCATCCATCTTACCCTTGTAAAAGTCAGTTGTATTGCTCTTTTTAAAGAAGATTTTAATTAAGTCTTGAGCAAGATTCTAGTTTAAACTGTGTTGCAATATCTTGGATTACAACAGCAGGTGGAAACTGGCCTGAAAAGGAAGATTTATTTCAATAACCATGTGATTTAACTGCTGACTCACAACAAGGTGACGCCCAACCTTTGTTTTCTCCTATTCATTTCTTTACAATCTAACAAGTTTGTTTTTCCTCCCAGACAACAGAGAAGTGCTCGGCTGAGGTTTACTTTCCAAGGGGAGAAAAGCAGCTCCCACCTCAAGTGCAGGTCTCCTCATTAGTGGAGCTCCCGAAAACTGATGTTGAAGCTAAAGAAGGGGAGTTATACCAGGAGTACAGGACCAATAAAACCCTGCGTACTGAAAAACGTCTACCTGGTATGTTCAATAACAGAAAAGCTGCAAAAAATCACCACAGAGTACCAGAAACGCTCAGTGTAAGTTTGGTTTCGTCTTTCAGACAGCTACGGTCACATGGACCCAGAGATGACTCCCTTCTGGCATCTCGGCATTGTGGCCTCCAGCTTCATCATGCTGAGTGAATCCACAGAAAACACTCTGTACAACGTGGCTCAGGTGGCCAACATCACACAGCTGGTAGGCTGCTTATTGCACTTTGGAAAAATCAGCAACAAAAACACGGATTTAAGGCCCTTATTGTTACAGACTAAACATAGAAAAACAAAGTGCAGATCGGATTGTTTCTATTTATCCCCTGGATGCTTTGTTTTACATTTTAATAGCCAGGGCATTTCATGCAGACTACATCTACTAGAAGCTAATAGGTTCTGTCCACTGGAACAGCCCGCTGCTTACAGTAGTGTTTGGAGGAGAAAAGGGCATTAGAAATGCTTCCCAATCTAAGATAAAACCTCTATTTTATTTCTGAAACATTTACTGTGTCCTTTTTATTACTAATATAAAGCTCGGCCTAGTCCATGGGGTTTAAAAATAATGTCTTGCCTACACCTTTTTAAATGTAATACTGTACACAAGGGAGTGTTTTTTTTTTTTTTTTTAAACGTTTCATCCACATGAAACTACAGAAACCACTGAGCGTTTTTTTTCTTTTTTAAACACAAAACGTAAACTTGTCAGCCAATCAGAATCCTTAAAAAACAACCATGATTTCCTGTTGAGAATAAATCATGGATGAAAATCAGTGATCATGAATAAAACCAAAAATACAAAAAAGTGTCTGAAGCAACTGAAATGAAAGCTTTATGATGGTCGCTCAGAAACACTGATTTATTATCCTTAACCCACTCTCAAACTAGAGCATCTGCTAAGGGCCTCTGTCCATTTAGACCACCCAACTTGGCTCAAATTTAACCTTTGCGGCAGCTGTCTTTAGATATTGCTTTATTATTTCCTAATGTTCTTATCAAGCACATCAGAGCCTCTTGGAAATAAACACTGATAATTCCCAGAGGGGGTGGTATCAAGTTTATAAACTTCTGTCTTTTTCTCTTTACATGTAGAAATTGTTATTGTGGTTGATATTTTACTGATACCACAGAGCAAAAGTATACATCTTTGTCCGAGTACATATGGAAAGCTTAACCTAGTTTACACTGATTTCTGAGAATGGCTTCTTCCTAACTGAGTGGCCTTTTAGCTCATGAAACGCCCAACTTCTATCACAAAGTCTTTCCCTTTAGTTCTGGACGTAATTTACATGTCTGACACCAAAAACTCGTTGTCTGAGACACAGAGCCTGCTTCCGTCCAGACTGGTTTCTACTACCTTATGCTGTTAGCACTTGCATAAAAGTGTTTGAACAGATGAAAACAACATGCGGAAGTCCATAGCTCTCCAAATATTTTGCCAAATATCATATGACAAAAAAGGCAGCTGATGCCACCCAAAGGCCTGACTTCATTTGAATATTATGAGTGAAAGGATAAGTTTCCAAAGGCCATAAATCATCATCATCAGCTGACCTGTTGCGTGTTTTTTTTAAACCTTCAAAACTTAGTGTATCTAAACCCCTGACTTCTTATAAATGGATTCTGACACTTAGCAAATAAATATCTGACTTTAACTTTAAGATAGGAAGAAAAACAGGAAAACATAGAAACACAGTAATAACAACATGCTCCAGGAGATCAACCTGGTTCCTGAAAACCATTACTGAATGAAAATGCCCCTTCTGAGTCTGAACAAATAGCCAGGAAAGATGTCAGTCTTCAGTCTGCAACTCTTAAAACTCTGTATGTTTTTCATTTGCTCCTCTGCCACAGACAACAGAAAATGACCAGTTGAAGTTTGATTGTCACGTTCTGCTGCACGACATGGTGTCTCAGGTAAAGAAAAAGCTGAACATCCAGTGGCTGAAGTTTGTTTGTTAAACCAAAATGGTATAAACCAGTATAGTATAAACAGTGATTTGCAGTAATTATAAAAATGTTTGAACATTTCCTCAATCAGGAAAAGTTACAAGTCTGTTTACAAAACAAGATCAACAATTCCTGACCATGTGACAAAAAGTGTGTTTGGTAAATTTGTTGCAGGAAATCCCCCAGTGGAAGCTGCTGTTCACCTGGTCTCCAGCCGAGGGCGTTAAGGTGCTGCAGACCGAGAAGCTGCCTCACGTTCATGAATGTGAAAAACATCCCAAAACCAACTGATCTTTCTCAAAATGATGTTGCAACACGTTGTTTCTTTGTAAATGTTCTTAAAGTGATGCCACAATTTATGAAGCAAGATTTGCCTTTCACTCCTGCAGCATAAAGCTTTTGAAATGCATGGTGCTACAAACTGCTTATTTGGGATGAGAAAGCAGACTTACGGTACAGGACTGGTGATTGTCTCTCTGAAGGCCACTTTGGGTTTCCCCATCACACAGGGACAGTTATATTCTCTTTCCATCCTCTAAAATAGAGACAAAAATAGAAGAAAACTGTTGGCAGAACTGGAGATAACAGTCAGAGCATTTTCCATTTGCTGTCCCTCATGATCTGTCCTAAATTAAGTAGGATGGTGCTTCTTTACTGGGAAACGATAACCCAGCCATGTCAAAGAATACTCATTTGAGATGAAAAGTTTCATTTAGATCATCATTGGGCTGACAGAACCAGTAACAACCATATTACATTAACTACTACGATACTAGACAGCGGTCTTTGTTGCAGCTCTCCAACAGTGAGCTCTGGGGATATTTCTAGTTTCTAAGTGAGGTCATGCTGCTGCAATTAAGAAATAATTGATCTGGAGGCTTTTAAAGTTATCTTAACCAGGGACGCTAACCAATTTAATAATCCCAAAAAAAGGAGGCTTTAACAAAAATGTTGGAGAATTAAAAAGACCTAAATATACAGTTAAAGATAAAATAATTAAGAATAATGACAGTAAAACTTCCATGCTGGTGCCCATCTCCAGTTGTCAATGGGCGAGAGGCGGGGTACACCCTGTACAGGTTGCTGGTCTGTTGCATGGTAACACAGAGATGCACAAATACAACCATGCACACACACCTAAGGACAATTTAGAGAAGCCAATTAACCTATCTGTGGGAGTACCCGAGAGAATCCACGCATGCCTGAGGAGAACAGTTAAAGACCCTGGGCTGGGAATCAAACTCAGAACCTTCTTGCTGCAAGGCAACAGCGCTACCACATGCGCCACCGTGCAGCGCTTGTTTGTCTTTATTTTCAGAGATAAGGAGATGAGTATGTACCTGGGAGTAGATTTCTAGATGCAGCTCGCCCATGCCTGATATAATAGTTTCTTTGCTCTCTGTATCAAAGTGCACTCTGAAAGTGGGATCCTCTCTGGTGAAACGATTGATGCCTTTAGAGAATTTGTCCAGATCGTTCTGGTAAACAGGAGGCAAAAAAAAAAGGCCATTTAGAGGAAACATTTTAAAAAATGTTTGCAATTAGTTTCATAAAACATAAAATAAAAACACCTTTACCTTATTGGCTGGCTTCATAGCCATGGAGATGACAGGCTCTGGGATGTGAATGGACTCCTGAAAGCAGGAAGACAACCAATTAGAAATTTCACGGCTGTTAGTTTGCCTGGGACGCTGGCGTGACTCACCATGGAGAGGTTAGCGCTAGTTTTGGATGTAAAAGTGTCTCCGCTTGCACAGTCGATCCCAAACAGAGCACAGATGTCTCCTGCATAAACCTCATCCACATCCTTCAAGAGCATGAACAGAAAGAGGAAAAATACATATTACATCTACTATAGTTTACTTATTTATTATTCATAAATGCACTTTAACAGAGATACATGGAAAATGTGAGATGCATGGAAACATTTTATTCTGGTGTCATGGGGAATGTGGTTGTTATCTCCACACTTGACTGAAGCCAGAAGAGGAACTTCACCCCTCTGATCAGTTCTGCACCGCATTAGCTTTAATCTGACGGAAACAAGCTGTGAACCTGAGAGGACACACGCTGACGCCCCGTTCCCCCTCACCTCCATCTGATCCGCATGGAGGCGCACCAGCCTCTGAACTCGGACTTTTTTGCCTGTCCGCGTGTTGTAGATGTACTCTCCTTTCCTCAGGCAGCCCTGGTAGACCCGGATGTAGGTCAGCTGACCGAACCTCCCCGCCTGTCGACAAGAAAGACCACAAAACACAGCAAAGCATGACGGACCTCACCCTTCTGAAAAAGACATAGGTTAAAAAAAAAAAAAAAACAAGAAAAAAAAAAATACTTACCTCTAGTTTAAAGGCCAGACCAACGTAAGGGTTTGAGGAATCTCTGGTGGGGTCCATTTCAATCTTTGATCTTTCTGCTGAATCTCTATCATAACCGAAAAAAGTAACAATGTTAATGAACAGAGACTAATTTTATTCATTGTCAACTTTCCTTAAAATTTTCCCAAATGTTTTTTTTTTTTTAAACACGGTAAGAAACTTTCTACGCAGCATCATTAAACTGGCTAATCAAATTGAAGTAGTTCAATTAGCAGGGTCGATACCAAAACCAACCTTTTAACTGTAAAGCTCTGTTAGTCACTGATTTTCTCTGGATCTCCAATATTAATAAGGGTTTCCTTCTCATTTAAACACAGTAGAAAAAGCAGTAAGGGTTTGAGTAGACACAGACATTTATCAGTCCTAAAACGAAAGGCTGGACTTAAAATATTATGCTATATTTGGGAGAAAAAAAAAACATTGAGGCCTTCGGAGCATGTTTTGCCATTCGTAGAGGAAAATTCCTCTCAGATTAGGCAGATAGCCTTATTCAGCCCTCCTCTGGACAAGCTGCTTTATTTTCCACGCCCCCGTCATCCCGAAGGCCGCTCCCCCACAACCATGACAATCAGTTCATAAAGATAGCCTAGTTGAAGGCCGTAGCTTCATTAATGGGCTGCTCCAGCCCAATCTGGACAGTTTATTTCCCCTCATGACATCATAAAGGGAATGCTCTTCACACACTAGCAAAGAGGTGGAGAAAAACTGAGAGAAGGGAAAGCTGTTTTTTTAATTTTTTTTATTTGTGAATCTTATATTATTCAGGACACACATGACTGTTACAAACAATGCTGAGCCAGTTCTTTGTTAAAAATAACGGGCTCAAAGTTCAGTTCACACAGCTAAAAATAAACTAGTTCATGAACATAGTTCCCTTTTTAAAAAACTAACTAAGTTCACAAACCAATAATGAACTAATTCTAGTTCATTTGTTAAAATTAAGCCACAATTCTACACAATAGAACTTCATATTTCACGCAGTCAAGGTTTACTGTATGTGAAGTCAAGCTTTTATTTAACCAAATTAAACCGAACCTCAGAAACATACAGGAACATTCAGGTTCTGCTGAAAAGATCTGTATCAAAAAATAATTCTTATGTTCCTCATTCAGTAGCATATATTTCCCCAGATAGCTCAGATACTATAACTCAGTGTGTCGTTTTAAATTTGAAATGGACGTGGCTGACATACAGACTTGTTTTAGTCCCTGCGTGCAAAGTTTGCACAAAAACATGATTTTTTTTTCCGTCAGAGTCTTCATTTATTAGTTCATAAAACTCTGCCGAGCGCTCTGCAAAACTGGCATCAGAAATACCAGAAGAGTCTGAATTGCGCAGACAAGTACTAACAGTAGATATGCTGGTCTGTCATGCTGTTTGCCGTAATAAGTACCGTAAATCCTGACGCCATCCAATATAAAGAGTCGTTAACAGTTGAACGTGAGCTGTGTGTCGCTGATTATTCTCAGAGTGAACATCGCTGTCCTTCCATTTAGTTCATGGTTCACTAAAAATATGAATGTATTCAGTAAACGCCGTTCATTGAACGCATTCATGCACAACACTGGATGTATTATTCCTCCATAAAGACTAACTTGATTCCACACTGGATACAATATGTTTATAAGGAGAAGTGAGTTTAATATGGGACCTTTATTAAGGTCCACAAAGTAGGAGAAGGAAAACCAATAAAGACAATAGTGTCAAGTAATTCCTAAAGAGTTAATATTGGCAGTGGTAGAATGGGAAAGATTTCAAGATGCTCCAAAAATTCCCAGGACAACTGCCAGGAAATGAACGAATGACTTGTCTAACAGAAGGACCGTAGACTGGAAGAAGACCATCAGTAGAGGCCTGCATGGTAGGAAGCCTGGAAAGACGCAGACTAAGACAGGCTGACTGTGCAGAAAGCATGTCCTTTGGTTAGATAATATGAAACTATACTAATTTGGTCCTAGAGTCACCACAAATATTTGGAATAACGAAAATGCATAACCTAATGAAAAGGACCAGTGGGAGTATTATTCTGTGGGGTTGCTTCTGTTCAAGATGAATCATGGAGAAAGGAGCACATGTGAAGATTTGAGCAGGAAAACAGAGTCTGGGTAAATGTTTAATTGATCCAATAGGACAGCAACCTAAAATGCGTCACTGAGGGTGAGAGGCACGTTGGGGGACGTTACTAACAGACCTGCACAAAGCAGTGTTGTAACACACATCGGGTGGGGTCCAAAGTCCAAGTCCAATTCTGTAGGCTGCTATCAGATGACTTTTGTTTATTTTATTTTCATCATCAATTTTCATCATGGCAAATTTTGTTTTGTTTTTTTTAGGAATACTTTTGTTTCTGTGTATAAAAAAAAAAAAAAAAAAAAAAGCAAGCTCTTCAAGCTAAGAAGCATGGAAATACTTACTCATCATTGAGAATTGCATAGTTTTTGACTTCACTGGGGTTCGGCAAGTATTCCAGGACAGCGTCTAGGAGCGGTTGGACACCTTTGTTCTTCAGTGCTGTTCCCACCAACACGGGACTGAAGAGACGCTGTACTGTGGCCCTGCGGATCGCAGCCTAAGACAAAACAAGAGGAAATAGTTATGATGCAACTGGCTTCAGCCTTCATTTATAGGAAGTATGGAGAAATGAATATGCAGGAAAAGAGGTTAAAACTAGTGGCTTTGCAGTCAAAACAGCAAGAGTTATTGCAGTTCAACTAATTTTGGACAATTTCTATATGGAGTCAGTGTCAGACTTGGAACAAAATGGAACTACAACGGTATTTAAAGATGAAATAATCTAAATATATAAAACTTCTCAGTTTTCTATGGTATCTTTATTGTGCTAAAGTTAAAAATTACTCCACAAAAGTTGTCACAAGCTATTCACTTTTTCCATTATAAAATGCAAACTCTATGTCCTATATCCGTTTAAGACTAACCTTCAGGTCATCTTTGGTGGGAATTTTCTCCTCCAGAAACATCTCCCCTAAAGTTTCATCAGCATTAGCGACACACTCCACCAACTCCTGCCTGCGGTCGGCAGCTTCTGCACGGAAATCTGAAGGAATCTCGTCAAAGCGGATGCTCTGACTGTAGGGGAGGAGAAGAAACGGTTTATGTTTACGATTTGTGTTTAAATGGGTATTAATAATTTTTTTACACATGAAGGTTTTCTGCAATGTGTAAAACAAATGACAGTATTTTACTAAATGAGGCCTACCCAAAAGGTCCTTCAAAGTACATGCTCCGCTCTTCTATCAGGTCAATGATGCCGCGCATGTTCCCCTCCAGGCCCATTGGGATGTTGACAAAGGCTGCGTTGTGGTTCAGTTTAGATCTGCAAGAGAAACAAAACTTAAACTAAAACATCCGTATTCTGCTTTTCTACCCACAGGTCAGAGCTTTACAAAGGCGAGAAACTGAAACTGATTTAGAAACCAGCAATCGGTTCAGATTCTGTCAACAAGCAGTGAGACGTGCTTTTAACTGTGGGTTGGAGACTGTGGCCACTCTGGGCCCAAAGTGTCACAGAGTTGAAGTCAAATACTTCCTAACTGTTGGGTCAAATACAGCTGAGTAATGTTAAAAAAATGTACAAAGATGCAATGAAGAAAAAAGACAATCCTGATTAAATGACAAAAGAGGCTAAGCTAGAGGTGAGTAGAGACCAGGATTAGAAATGATTAGATCAGAGGAACAGCTAAAGGTAGGACGGTTTAGGGTTAAAGTTAGAAATGTTTTGGATGTGATTTAAGAATGGATAACCACTAACCTTAGACTTAATTAAAGCTCCACTTGTATTTCTAGGATATTTGGGGAATTTCTATGTCCTTTCCATTGTTTCTGAAAGCCAATAAGCCCTTCTTTCAACATTTTAGACAATTCTCTTGACTTTTTTCCAAAATGCAACGAACATTCGCTCTCAGAAGTCTGAGCTGGTCTTTATAAAGCCAAACTGGTATGAGCAGGAATGTATAAGAACACCCCTGATTAACAAAGGCCTGCCATTATGAATAAATCTGTTCGAAGAATTTGTTTAATTTTAATTTCTAACCTTCTTTTAACTGTTTTCTATTGGCAACCAGCTGAAAAATAAATGTTTCCCATTAAACCTAATTTGCTTTGTGTTGGCCTTAAGTCTTTAATCTTCATTTTTATAACTATTTAATGAAAGAGTTCAGAAATTATCTCCCCAAAACTGCTAAAGTTATTTGAACAAGCATCACTCAGTTCTTTATATTTCCACTCAGGAGAACTTTAGTACGACCTGTACCTCATCTGCTGCAAGGCCCGGCTGGGATTAGCTCCCATTCGGTCCAGCTTGTTGATGAAGGTGAGGAAGGGGACGTTGTAGCGCTTCATCTGTCTGTTCACAGTCATGGTCTGACACTGGACGCCTCCCACGGCACACAGAACCAGCACCGCGCCGTCCAGCACACGCAAGGCTCGCTCCACCTCAATGGTGAAATCCACGTGACCTAAAGACATAGATGTCTCGGTAATTCAAAAGTAACTGATGGGTTTAAGCATGTTAATGTGTTAGAATGTCCAAATCAAAGTATTGACCTAAACCCAAATGACTATCTGTGGTGCAAATAAGAGTTAAACTGTTTTGTCTGTCTGGCACACATATGAGTGTGAATATATATATATGTATTTAGATGTTCCACATATAATGTCAATGAGCTATCATGCAAAAGAGTTGCTAAAAATGTTAAGGTAGGGGTGTCCCATTCAGGTATTAATATCTGGTATTGTTCTGATATTAGACAAAAAGCTAATTATCATAACACATGGGGAATTATTCTAATAGTGACCCTTTTATCACAACAAATCAGTAATAAAAGCATTTATGATTTATGACGATATCATATCGGGTCAATATATAAAGTATTGAAAATAAAAACGTTGTATTGGGACATCCCTATTCTACAGCACATAGCCAAAGATGTTTGTTGTTGTTTTTTTTCTTCAGCTTGTATTGTCATTACACTGTAATAAGTACAAAGCAACAAAATTAACTCTATGCATTTAACCCATCCCCTTGGAGAGCAGTGGGCTGTCATTGTGTGGCGCTCAGGGAGCAGTGTGGAGTTAAGGATCTTTGCTCAGGGACCCAGAGTGGCAGTCTGTGGGAGTGGGGTATGAACCCAGAACCTCAGGATTCCAAGCTTTATGCCCTAACCACTAGGCTCCCACTCCCCAGTGGTTTGATTGATTGACTTTATTGATCTCACAGTGCAGATATTTACATCAGCTCAAATAGTAAAAGGAGAATGTGTCAAAGGAAGAAAAAGGTGCATGGGACATATACAATATATAGAGCGGGTCCACATCCATCCATTTCCTTAGACGCTTTTCCCCGCGAGGGGTGCCTATCTCCAGCTGTCTAATGGGCGAGAGGCGGGGTACACCCTGGACAGGTCATCAGTCCATTGCAGGGACAGAGACAAACAGGACAAACAAACATTCACTCACACCTAAGGATAATTTAGAGAAGCCAATTAACCTAACAGTCATGTTTTTGGACTGTGGGAGGAAGCCGGTGTACCCAGAGAGAACCCAGGCATGTTCAGGGAGAACATGCAAAACTCCATACAGAAAGAACCCAGGCCAGGAATTGAACCCAGAACCTTCTTGCTGCAAGGCAGCAGTGCTACCCACTGCACCAAGACAGTTTTTATTTTATGTTATTTTAACCCTGGGATCATTGTACAGGGTCTGGTAGAGGCAGAGCTGTAGTTAGAGCAGAGCGTCCACTCTTTACAGGTGCAGAACAATGGTGAAGATCATGTCTATTGAGAGTATAATCAGTACCTGGTGTGTCGATAATGTTGATGTTGTGGTTCTTCCACATGGTGTATGTAGCTGCTGACTGGATGGTGATGCCTCTCTGTCTCTCCAGCTCCATGGAGTCCATAGTGGCTCCCACACCATCTTTCCCTTTCACCTTGACATCACAGAGAGACAAAAATACCGCTGAGTAACGCAGCTTCATTTCTTAACATACAAGCAGAGCCCATCTTGGCCATTACCTCGTGAATCTCCGCTATCCTGCCCGTGTAGTAGAGGACCCTTTCGGTCAGGGTTGTCTTCCCCGAGTCGATGTGAGCGGAGATGCCAATATTGCGGATTTTCTCGTTGGGTAAGACCCCAGAGGAGCAGGTCCGACAGCTGTTAATGAGCACCTGAGGACATGGGATCTATATTGAGAGCTGTTTGTTTATTTATTTCAGAGGTCTGTGTGTAAATGGTCGCCAGAGCCAGGTTACCTGTTTCAGTGTGACGCTCCCTGGAGCTAACAGATGATTCCTGGTCAAACACAGACCCGCCTTCAGTACCCTCATTTTGAAGTCGGTTTTGTGGAGTTAAAGGTGGGTGACTGTTGTCCTGCTTGTGGTCGACCCCAACCCTGCTGACAGCCCGGTGAATGTCACGCCGGCGAGTTCCCGGTGCCTGCTTACGAAACGCAACTTCCGCTTCTACGGAAGCCCATGAGTACCATGGATCCATGACGAAGCTGGGGGGTGGGAGGTTTTCGGTGGGGTTTAAGTCTGGAATGTTTTTTATATATATATATATATTTCTGAGTCTTTTTTTTGTATTAGACTTTAAAAAAAATAATTTGTTACAGTATGTGCAAACCTCACCACCTTAACTATGGTTTCTGCTTGTTAGCGCCGCTGCGTTCGGTACGCGCAGGTCTTATTTGGGAACAAATTTGAACCTAGATCTGTTTTAAAGATTGCTTATCTTAAAGCACAAACTTCTAAAATGTTCTATACAACAAATATCAAGAAAATCTGCTGCCTTCAAGTGGCACCACACGTGTCTCTTTGAAAGTTTGCCCTATGCAGACTTTTTATTGCTACAATTTAGCATAAAACATTTAAATAAACCATATACAGTTAACAGGGAGTTTGGAGAGTATATCAATAAATATTGATCAACACATATTTCCCTTGAAAAGATGGTTCCGTCGTTTTATATGTTTTTTTATTTAAAGTACTTAAAATTATTTTATTTTTTTTCTTGTTTCTTTTGCCTTTTAATACACCCATCAACTAGAGCTTGCCACTCACAAGAGGGCGGACACACCGACGTGTCGCTTTTATGGGGTGACGAAACGCTATAATCTTCCCAAAGGAAAGTAGCTATGTGGGGAGAGGGTTATTTGGATTTCATTTTTTCCGTTACAAATTTAAGTTAAGCGAATATATATATTTATTTCAACCATAAAATCATTGCCATTTGGCTTTCTTCACTTTAACGCTTTAAATGCAGCTACTCAAAAATGTTTAGAAATAATTTAAATAGGTTATTTGGTTTAACTTTGTGAGAAATGTATCCTACGTTTTAGAAATTATTTTGAGTGGACAAATTGTCTTTCTTTTGCTTTTCCCCCCCCAAATTGTTGTTTTTTCTAATTATATTAACTAGTTTTTGATTTTTTATTTATAGGATACAAGCCATTATCTAAATACAAACTCGTTGGTTATTATTATTTACTATTATTATTATTTACTATTAATATTCGTTATCTGTAGAAAGAAAACCCAATTTACGAGTGACACCTAAAAGCAACACAATTAGAGGTCCTCAAATAATTTAGCTCTTTAATTTGCTTGTTAAACATAAACATGTTTTCTTAGCTGTCTTCTGCTTCATTACCATCAGATTTATTGAATTAATAACGAATGTTAACTTTTAAAACTGCACAAAGCCAATCCCGTACTCCCGATTAAAGAGCATGAACGTCAGATAGACCTGCCCCCGTTTGCTGAAACACTTCCTCCGTGACTTTTTTCCTCATTTAAACCACATGCTGTTGTCACTTCAGGCTCATCAACATCAGTCTGTGAGTCGCAGAAAGGAGAAGCAGCACCATCCTAACACCTGTGCTTGTGCGAGTTAAAGCTCCAGCGCCAGCTTTTTAACAGCTGTTTCACTGAGCCAAGTAAATATGGATTTTTAAGGTAAGTTCTCTTACATTCCCTTAATTTTGTGTGTTTAAAAAAACAAAAACAAAACATAATTGTTAGTTTTTTGAATCAGAGCTTAAGCCTAAACCTCTTATTTAAATCCTTCCAAGTTAAACAACTCTCTGTTTTTAATTTAATTAGCACAAAAAAAAAATTATCATTCATTGCAAACTACGTGTTTAAACAAATAATTCACACCCTAGACCTTTCAGTACATGACAAGCAAATAGATGAGTGTCAACATGAAGCTGATGTGCCTGTTGGTCAGTGCAACTTCCCTTTACTGTTCTTTCTGCTTAGATCACGCTTTGTGTGTCTTTTTTGTATGGTTTAGTGTTGAAATAACCAACTTTCCATGAAGTGTCACAGTTTTGATGGGTGTGAGTGGCTCCTCATGTCAGAGGTAATCATTTTGTATTAATAAAACTAGATGAGCAAGATGGAAAACTGAGAATCTTTCATTAAATCGGAAAAGCTGAATGATTAGGAAGATGTTGTAATAGTGATTTCTTTTTTCCCTAGCATTAAGCCACATAATATCTCATTGTTCTTGGATTTATTGAGCGATTACTTCTGCTACCCCGCCTAGCCAAGTTGTATTGATTCAGAGTGATGAATCATTTTGTGAGATTAATAATCAAAAATATATCTATTACCAAAGAAGCTGTTAATTGTATTTGTGCATGCTTCACAGTGAGTTAGTATTTCCATTGTTACACTTCCTGTCCCGTTTCCTCTCTGTGAGCTTTCCTGCTGTCAGCAGGGTGACAGAACCACAGTCACATTAAATTACAGCAAAAATGACAGCTGCTTGCTTTATTCAATCCAATACATAGAACAATTCATGCTGTGGGTTTGGTATTTTCATTGCGTATTGGCAATATAATCTAATACTGGGTGTGTTTTATAGAAATGTATATATGAATATTTATAATGAACCTTTTACAGGTTTGCTGTTTATATGCACCTGTAAATTATCACTAGTATATACATTAAACCCAGAACCTATGCTGATTGTAGGAAAAGTATTTTTTACCTCTTGAACTTTTCTTATGTTTCGGCCCATATCAAACGCAAACCTTAACTTATTTATTTGAATTTTCATATGACTGACCAACTTCTACAGAAAACTATTTGCGCAATTCTAGGGAAATGATAGATAGGTTTTAATGGTTTGACACGTATTAATCTGAAACGTGGGCTGCATTTTTTTATTAAGGGTCCCTGAGTCAATATTTTCCATATCCACCTAAAAAAACAATTGCCGTTTTGAGTCGTTAAGGATGTTTCTATGAAACTACGGGGCTCCAACTCAAGTCCTTTGAAGCTGTTGTTCAGTAACGTTTAGCTGTGTCTCTATTCCCTCGAAGAAAATGAAGCCTGTGGTCACGTTCTACAGGGTCCTGCTAGTAAACTCTAAGTTAAGAGTGGTAGTTTTGTGTTTAAAAGGTCTGTTGGAGGGGGATGCAAAAACCTTCATTTGAATCACAGCAGAGCCCTAGAGAAAAGTTTAGAAATCTTTGATCTAACTTATTTCTGAGCTCAATAAGGTTTATAAAATCAATCACCCAGAGAATAAGCATTAGAAAATAATGTTTTAATATCTGCATGACAGGCAGTGCTGGAATAAGATGGGGAAAGAACTTTGATTTCATTTAGACTGCATAAAGGTTTGAGGGCTGAAACAGAAAAAAGTCTTGCTAACTAATCAACCTATTGACTATTTTGTTAAGTTAATTGATAGTAATCGGACAGCAAAAAATGCTTTCTGTGCGAAGCTAAAACTAAACCACTTGAAGAGTCCCGTATAGAGCATATTTTAGAACCAAATGTTTTTCCATCTTGAATGCAAAATATATATGTTTTTAGGTCATTCAATTGTTTTTCAACAAATGACAGGTTTCAGAGTCTGTGTAATTCGGTTAGTTATCGTTGAATTTGTAAATTAGTTCCTTATCACAATGAATCATACAAATCATGTCCTCAAAGCTTTAAAGTAAAGTTTTACTTGGAAATTTTCATATTCAATATTTTTAGTTGTGATAGTTTTCTTTCATTTTTTTTCCCATAAACATATGTTTGAAAAACTTTTGTTCTTAAATTGACAAAACTTACAAAAGACAATAGTTGATTCATTCATATGTTGGTAACTATTGTGCAAGTGAAGTGACATATTGTTTGCTAACCAGAGCAATTAACCTTGAAGGTAGAAAAGAAATTAGAGTTTACTACACAATTAGAAAAATATATGCACATTTTAAGTGCTGACATAATCTAAGTGTATATATATGGGGTTAATCAAATCATAAAAATGTGATCAGTTATAGTATAACAAGCCTTCTTCTAGTCAACAATTTTTTTGTTAGCATGCATGGATAAAATTGTTTGATGAAAGAAAGCCCTCAGGGGTAACAGATACAACCTTAATCTGATAATAAAACATAGAAATTATCTATCTATCTATCTATCTATCTATCTATCTATCTATCTATCTATCTATCTATCTATCTATCTATCTATCTATCTATCTATCTATCTAGATAAATGAGGCTTTGAATGTTACACAACAGAAGGAATAATTCAGTGTGAGTGTAAACGGATCAGTATTCAGTGTAAATTCAGGTCAACACAAGGTCAAGGGCCCATGTTACAACTCTCTTATTCTCAGTTCAAACTCTTCAAAATTCAAACACCCGAAACTTTATTTAATCTGTCAACCACTGCAAGTTGACCCTTATTGATTTCTCTGTAGCCAGTAATGGTATTTCAAGTTCAGCACTGGTAGTTTTCTATGGTTATTTTATCTGGCTGATGAACTCTATTCTTTTTTAAACCTGGGATCAGTACTTCCCCATGTTATTTTGACATGAAACATCTTTTTCCTAGGTTTCTTTAATAGATGATGTCAGAGCTACTTGCTTTGAGAAATATTGCGAGTTGTAACTTATTCCTCACTGACCTACAATTGACTGGATGTAGCAAGCTTGTATAGTACAGAGATGAACTGATTGTTCTCTGGGGTTTGCCTGTAGCTGTTCGATTGAGACAGATCTGAAGGATCATCTGTTTGACACTTTTATGATCCCTGCAGCCTACCAACAACAGTGCTGCTCTTGATAGGTTGGCTATCCCTTATTTTTTATTTTTTGGCTTGTCATGCTCGTGTAATGCCAGGGGTTAATACTTAATGATTGACAAATATTGACTTAATTTCTGGCAAATATTGGCCCGGTTTTATTGCCATGATGATTCCTTTGTGGTGAGTCAAAGCAGAAAAAAGTAATTTTTTATCTGGAAAAAATAAAAGATTTACTTCAATAAAAAAAAAAAAACATTAGACTTCAGGACTTGGTCTGTGTAATAACATTAGTAAATCTTTTTTATTTGAACAATTGGTGAAAACTTATATTGGTAATAGTTGAAATCTTGATATATAAATAAAAGCTTTTTTGTCTAACATTTTGTATTAATTTCACACTGGACACAATAGATTGCTAAGGAGTGCTGCGATTTATATCCAGACACAGGAGGGCAGTAATGGTCCTGGTCCAGCTTTAACTGGGGATAACAGACTTGGGTTTGATTTTCATATTTTAAAGGATGTAACATAGATATAAAACATTTTCTGTGATTATATTTATCTTATTTGATTCCATTGTCCAGTTCTAGTCCTAAAAGTCGTTGCAGACCTTTAAACTTACAATGAAAAAACTATAATGTCCCTTAGTTAAGTGTCATCACCAAATTTAAATATAATTATTAAATTTGTATTGATTTTAAAAACTCTTGAGTTGTAATATTATATTTATTCATTACACTTATAGCAATTTATATTATATTATAGTTAATCTATAGTTAATTTATCATTATTGTCACTTGTATCTAAAGGCAACTCCAAATTTCAGTTTCTTAAAAAATTAGAATATCACATTATTTAAGTAAAAAAAAAAAAAGCTTTTAAAAAATGGATATCATCTTCCAGAGAATTCTGGAAGATGATATCCACTGCGCAGTGTATGCATTCACTGCTTGTTCAGGGCGTCTAAAGGTGTTTACTCCATCAATATTGCATGGTATAGTGGAGATTAACCTGTTTATCTGCTGATGTGTCAAGGAAACACAGGCGTCTGGTATTGGCGTTCAGTTTATCTTCAAGTCTCTGCTCTTCTTCACCACACCCCATACATTTGTTTATATTCTTATTTCCAAACAATTAATCACAAAGTGCCATTGGGGGTTGTTCTCCAACTGAAATGGGAACTGCGCTTTCATTTTACAGAAAAACCCACACCCACTCAGCTACATTCCAGTCATATTTCTCTGTGATGCTGTCAATGTTTCAGGAATACATTAAAACAGGAAAAATCACAGGTGTAACTTATGTCCTGTAAACATCTATTTATGCTGACCACCATTACAGTATATATATCTTTCAGTCCCTAATTAACTATTGGATGGACTTTTTCTTTTCTCTAAAGGCTGTGGTTTCCATTTTTGCCTATGCACTCCCCTTTTTGCTGCACTTTTACCTTCCACTCAACTTTCAATGATACATTAAGAAAAAGCACCCACGCAATTTAAGGTACCGGTACATTATTTATACTCTGAGATGAAAAAAGTTTTCATTGTCAAATTGTGTAGCAAATAAAACTAAAAGGTTGAAATAAAAAGAAAAACAAATTGTGAAACCAGCTTGTTTAGCAACAAGCTCTTGCAGCTTACCCTTCTTTTGTGTGTATTACTGTATGTGATCAAATCAGTAATCTTACCCAGGATTGTATAATAACCCTGTCATAACGTCTCCCGAAATTAGAATTTCTATTTTTATTATTCCCTTTACACAATATTGTAATGGTCTGTGAAGTTGAATTATCCACCATCCATTTATAAACAATAATTTAAAAACACTTAATTTTATCAATGTGTGTAATGAGTCTATGTGCCAGTTGGGATGTTTCCAATTACTGAAATAAATAAAAGTTTTAGTTGTAGCTGTACTTGTACTTTTAGAAATGTTTTTTTTTTTTATAATATTTAATATATATATTGTTTTGTTGATAGTATTTTACAGATTTTCATAAAAATTAAGGGCTTAAATTTTCAACTGATTTGAACCTGCCTGATCTGTGTAAAGTTTATATCTTAAGTAAAGTTTGTTGAACACATTTGTGCTGATGGAGTAAACAACATTATTGATATTTACTAAATGTAAATTTTTTTCTTCCTCGCAGATTCGACTAGTCACAGTGTGAAGGAAAGGTGTGGATTATTCGAGATTTTTCCAATCTTATTACATGGATTTGGTGATTAATGGATTACTGGAGCACTGTTGTTTGAGTTGTAATTTTTTTATTACACATTGAGGGTGTGTCTGGACAGCTGTTAGCACTACGGCATGCAGGATGGGCCAAACGCGCTCTGATCTGTCTCTCAGCACCGCCACTCCAGGCGGGGCGAAGTGGAAGCCAAACGGCACACCTCATCGACTCAGTATCTCCGGATTTAGGAGCAAAGGGAAGCAGCGGAACGAGACGCTGAGCAGGAATCCGATGAAAAGCAAAGTCCTGTCCTGCTTGGGAAGGAGAAAGCGATACTCCAGCCAAACGGAGGAGAATCTGGGTCATACTACCGCGACCGCCGACCTAGCAGCGCGCCTCGGCCACAGAGCAGGAAAGTTACCCAGAGACGAGGCTGCGTTAGCGAGCGGGGGGTATCAAGCAGCCGCGGGGTGTTTGGAGACATTGTCCGGCCTCGGTGATCATGTGGAAGCGGTGCAGGTCAGCGTGAACCGCGAGGGAAAGACAGGTTCCTCTGATCCTTCAGGCTTGGAGACGCGGAGCTGTGAAGTTAGCTGTACGGGCTGCGAGGAGCGCAGAGCCGGCGTGGGGGAAGACAATGCCTCGAACCCCCCAGCCAGGGCCATGGAAGACCAGCCAGAGGGGGGGAACGAGCAGAATCGCTTTGTGTGTGGGCTAAGATCTGATCTGAGTTCAAACCCCCGTCTGACCTCTGACCCGGACGCTGAACGGACTTCGCCCCCGGGTCAGGATCAGGATCAGGATCCGGGCGATAGGCTCTCTAAACCGGACGATTGCATTAAAGCTGAAATGACTAAAAGCAAGTCTAGCAGCGGGGATCAGAGCAACGGCTTTCTGGTAGAAACTGTCAGCATAAAGCAACCGATCATCCAAAACCCATCAGGAAAAAGTTTCCCTGGAACGATCCCGAAACTGATCATCACCAGAGACCCCAGCCCGAGCCGCCCCCATGGAAGCATGGCCCTGCTGGGAGACCCAGCCTCCTGCCTGGACCCTCAGCCGGACGATGAGTCCCCCTGCTCGGACAGCGGCTGCGGGGGGTCCCCTGCTCTGATGCGCTCCCCCAGGAAGCTGTCCAACTCCTCCTCCATAGGCCTGTCCTCAGCCTCCTCCTTCGAGGAGTCAGAGGATGATTTCACCGGCAGTGACATCGAGTCCAGCCTGTCCCCTTCCCGGTCACTGGGCAGCCCGGGGGATGGCACAGGGGTGAGTGTCCCACACATCAATACAATCCAATCAGACTGGGTCTTATAAAATGCTTCCCCTCTCTCTCACTGAAGTTTATTAAACAGGTTTCTGCTGACAAAACATTAGAGTAAGTGTTGCATAACTTCCCATCTACCACCAGAGGCCACATTTACATATTTACCTGTAAAGAAGTGCAAGTAGAGTCCTGTACATTGTGCAACATGTGCACCAATAGGCTACATGCATATCCGATTTTCAAACCTTTGGAGCTTTTTCCCCAGAGTAAACAAAGCTGCAACACCTTAAGGGGGACACACCTTTCTTATCCAGGGGTGTGCAACATTTAATCCTATCCCTATAGCTGCAGAATCAAACTGGTAAAGTTTGTATGATGCTTTGCTTATACTTTTTTTATCAGGCAGGTTATGTATAAATGTTTGAAGCATTTTAAAATATATATATTTTTAATAAAATTTAAAACAATAACAACACAGTAATACACTTTTGAAGTCAATTCTGTGAAGTTGAGATGGTGACATGTTTTAGAGGTTAATAATTGTTACTTTTGAATTATGACATTTTATAGCTTTCAGTTAGGTAGATTATTAACTGATAGCACAATTAGGGCTGAAATAATCGGATTAATGTGATTAATTCATTATTGAAATAAAGATCAACTTATTTAGTAATAGGTTACTCTTTAACTGGAGTATAGAGGCTCTAAAATGTGACCTTAGCTAACAGAGCGACTCACTTAGAGTGGTAGTTATACACAATTGTAAAGTATAAAGGTTTAGCATTTAAAATAAAAAATGTTTTCTTCTGTTAATACGCTCTATCCAGAACTTTTTAGTTGGAAATCTTTTTGTTTAACCTGGTTTAATTCTGTAAAAAAATCATCCTTAAGGAACCTTTTGCTATCCGATTAATAATTGAATAAAAATGATCAATGGTTTAAGCGATTAGCAAAATAATTGTTAGTTGCAGCCCTAAAAACAACCCCTGTTTTCTGGTATACAAATTGATAATTGACTTTAATGTTTGTACTGAAACTGAAAACTGGATTACAATTTAAATTGTAGTTGACAATAAAGACTGATGGGTAATGCTGGTTTATTTAAACATTTTTCATTCTCACAAAAAATGACAAACTAAACTAACGTCTGCAGTTAAATCCTCATCCAATCCTATCTAGTCTGGATTTGTTAAGAAAATAAATAAGCTAATGTCCTTTATATTCATACCTTACATTTTTGAGACTAATATACCATATTAGGATAGGAATAATTTTGCTATCTAATTTTTATTGTGTGGAGTAAGATATATTTCTAGTGTTGATTAGTGTTTCTCTTTGCATTATCTCTGTTGGCATTTGGTTAGAAATTGAAAGGAGCAATAAAGGAGAGTTGAGGTCATTTAATTCTGCTTTTCAGTAGATAAACTGCTTAACTGCTACCCAGACAACAACAGATAACATTAAAATAAAATGGCAGGAGATCGGCTCCTGTTTCCAACCCCCCACCTCTGCATTCTTTTAACACAAACAAAGCTCAGGTTCATTTGGTTTGATGAGTTCAGCAGTGGATCATTTAACCTTAGATGGCACTTTTTAATCTGCTCAGTCATAAAGCTACAGCTGCCAGCGGTGCTTCTAAACTTTTTCTTTTAGTCTCTCCTTCAAACTATTTGAATTTTCCATTCAGACAGTCGACTTTCTTTTCCTTTATCGTGAGGATTTGATGCTCTGTTGATTAGTCATGTTTGGAATGTCTTCAAAGCAGGATGCCTCCACCTGATATGGCCTCTCAGGATATCTTGAATATCCTGGTTGTTTCATGTGGCTCAGTGACTTGTGGTGTTCTTTACTGTACATCCTGGGTTGTGCTAAAGGTTGTGTGTATTTCATGATGTAAAATGCACTAATTTTCCCACAAGGGACAGGTTATTCATCAGCGTATTTAGCTCCCCATAGGCCGATTCGGTTGCACAGCGAGCACTACTATACTATAACATATATATATATATATATATATATATATATATATAGAGTTACAAAGAAAATCACAAATGTCAATCACTGACGAGAGGGGGTTAAAATACCACAAATTATTTTTTACAGTCTATTTGAAGTAGCTGATTTTTTTAAGTTCTTCTTTAGAAATGAAAAGGATGATAAAAAAAAAAAGTTTGTTATTGGTAGTCTAACGCTGTGTAACAACTATTTACTGAAATAACCAAATAAAGTATGATATAGTGTCCCCTTTTGGAAAAAAATAAAAAATAAATAAATAAATAAATATATAATTTGACCGAAACGCATACCGGAAGGTTTTGTTTCAAATGCTACAAAAAATGTTTACTTAAGTTTATAAAACAGGCTAAACATGAATGAGGAGTCTTGCTTTGTTAGATTCGAGACAAAGCCCAAGTTTTTAAGTGTTGTGCCCCTCCCCCCACCTGTTGCTGCACGCTAGTGATTTGCTGGAAACATTTTCCTTGCTTAAAAGTGAACTACTTTACCCAACTTGTTTGGCATGCGTTTGCAGGAAGATTATGCATTACATTACATTGTTTTCGTGTGTGTTTTTATTTAAATATGTAACACTCTGAAGCTAGACTCTGTGTTATTTTTACTGCAGGTTAGCATACTAGTCTTACTAGTTCTAATAATAGCTTTTTGGCAAAGGTATTATTAAAATGACAAATATTTCTGTCATCTGGACCCTAAAAGTTACATTTGCAAAAGTTTTGTTTTACAACCAACAAATAAACTTAAGTAATCTGTTTAAAATTTCCGGCGCGGGACCATTAAAGCTGTTTTGATTCATTTTTGCTTCACTTTGCTGTATCGACACAAGAATTTCAGCCTGCTAATTGGAGTGAGGTAACAGGAACTTCATGCGAAATTCACATTTCTACATATTGCAATCGTTTGACGCACAACCAGTTTCAGTGTCGACCTCCACAGGTGAAACATTGGCGTATTATCCAGGATTTTAAATGTTAAAAAACCAGGAAATGTGCAACCTAAGGAGGTGCAGAATTGCTGCTGAAACAAACAGGATGATACTGGCTTGTGGTTTGTGATAAGTGCCGGTTGGTAACCACCAGCCTGTTTTTTTTTTTTTTTTTTTTTTTGCTCTGGCAAAACAAAGTTAAAACATTGTTCTCTTTTATTACTACATAGAAGGTATGTGTGCAAGTGTAATGAGTCTCCCAATCAGACCTTTCTACATTATGTTCAGGCTGTGACGTGGGAGGATTCTTGCTCACTCTCTTGCCGTCTTGCATTCAGAGTCGCGTGTGTGTGTCATGGAAAATTGGGCTGAAGGCTGAGCCGGTTGCCAGGCGACATCTTTGCCTTATATGGTTCTCTTTTTTTTTTTTTTTTTTTTCTCTCCTTGGCTTGTTGTGTCTGTCACAGCTATCTACTCTGTCCCTGACATTTCAATGCATTGACATGCCAATTCCTATTAGCAATCATTCCAACAATAAGTGTCATTGTGTATTATAAATGAATTATTCCAGTAGGGGACACTATATTTCTCCCTTCATACGACTTCTAACAAAAGTTTAACATTTTCCACTGATACATGAGGCATAATGTGCCATGGAACAGAAGAAGAGAAAACTCAGGGTGACCTAGCAAAAGACAAAGAAGCTGAAATGAAACCTGGAACATGTAGCCTACACACCATGATGATGATGATGATTATTCCTATTTATGCCTGTTAAGTCATGAGCCATGTGGCAGACCCGGCTGTCCTACGCAGAGACTCCTATGCACAAAATACATGCTGTTGGTTTATAAAACAAGAAATGAACGACGTGCTTCTTTAAAAAAAAACAAAAACAATATTTATATAATAAATATAACTGTGTGTTGTCAGGGCTCGGATACGAATGGTTTTGGGATATTTATTAACATACATTAATGACACTGTTGTAAAAGATTGGGTTAGAAATGTTCTACATTAAACGATTAGTTAAATGTCAAAGCTGTTCTGATGATTCGACTGTGATGTCTTGCTAGAGTTGATAGGCGCAGCGTATTTATAGCAACACTGAGTGACCTTCCTGTTAACATGATTATAAACAAACAACAATGCGGTCATGCACTGATATAAAAGATTAGGCTTAACTAGAACAATCAAGTGTTTCTGGTAAATCTAGCTTCTTTTGTAGTTTGTTACATATAAATTATGTGTTCTATTTAAGACTTTATACATTTATTTAAAAAAGAAATGAATGAAAACAACTGTTAAAGTTTTAGCCACTAGGAGCTCTAGATGTAATGTCAAGCATTAGCACCCCTGTAAGCAACTGGCACAATTTCAGAGTCTTTCTCTGTGTTTCTGTCTTGCATATCTGAATTACTGCCTAACAGCTTTTGCTTGGTTAGCTTTCCTATCCAGGAGGAGCTCAAACTCTCAACATGTGGCGCTCTGGGTCACATGACCCATTTAATGATGGAGCCGTTAATTTATCTCACGTTAACCTAATAGGGCGACAGTGGCGTTGGATGTAGGATTTTGCTCTGAAATCGAAGGATTGACGGTTCACGCCCCGACTCCGACTTTCAGTGTCGTTGTGTCCTTGGGCAAGACACTTCACCTGCATTGTCTACTGATGGTGGTCAGAGGGCCCGGTGGCGCCAGTGTACGGCAGCCCCGCTTCTGTCAGTGAGCCCCAGGGCAGCTGTGGCTACAATGTAGCTTGCCACCATCAGTGTGTGAGTGTGTGTGTGAATGACTGTAGTGTAAAGCGTGTCCTGACTTAAAAAAGCACTATATAAGTACAGGCTATTTACCGTTTAATACTTTGTTCAACAGAGTAGATGCTAAAGGTAGATATAATTTCTCCAGATTGTTTTGGGTGCCATTAAACCAGCAACACATTTATAAAACAAACAAATAAATAAAAAAATGTAATATTTGGTTTATTTAATCTTGTTCAGATCCTGACAGTTCAGTGCTCCTGTTGCATATCTTAGTAGTATTTTTTTTATTTATCAGTTC